AAATTTAAGCAACTAGTCAATAATAACATTAATTTTATAATTTATTAATAGATCAATGTTTTTTAGACATGTACATTTATAATTCATATGTATTATATCTTGCTAATAGTTAATTTTATTTAAAACTGCATTTTTATAGTTACTACACAAGTTTGATTATCCAGAGAAATGGTAAAACAGTTGGAAAAAAATGTAATTTTGCGGCACATTTGATATTATAGCATTATTGCTTTATGCTTTATAAATTAGTGCATTATAAATTAATGCATTATGCTTTATAAATAAGTATTCATACTTATTTATAAAGCATTTATATAATAAAAATTATGATCTTAATAATGTTGTTAGATTAGGAACGGGAAAAGGTGAATCACGTTAACTCACGACAAACTCGAGTAAAATATATAAGCAACTTTATTACTGAACTGATATAGCCGACGCCATTATAACGAGAGAGTCCTTCTCTTTACTTCCTGACCCCTACAACCGAGTCAATCTTGAAACTCTACATCCGCACTCACTTAAGGCGCCAAACGATAAAATAAAATAATCGCAAATCCAACATTCTCCCACCTTGAGTCGGGTTATTCCCAACTCAACTAACATAAACATAAAATTTCGAACAAAAATCATCCGTAGAAAGAAAAAAATACATGTTAGAATAAATGAAATATAGTATAGTTCTTAACATTATCCAGCTATAGGAACCTTTTCGGTTTTTTAATGATACGGCCGGATCTCGTTACAACGGGTGTTTCTACGGGATTATGACGTGGAACTTCCGAAATCTTATTATTAGGATTATAATCAGTATTCGATTTCTCATTAATAAGTTCTTGTACAACTTCTTTACTTTGATCGGATGTTAGTTCTAGCGGGTAAATTCTTTGTATAGGTCTTATTAACTCGCCAGAAGTAGTAATTAAACGAACTACTCGCACTTCATTTCCCTTTCCAATAATAATATCCTTGACCCGCGCTAACGGCCATTCAACACGTTTCTTACTTTCATCTTCAATTAAAACAATATCGCCCACTTGAATCTTCCGTAATTCCTTCCTTTTGTTATTATGATGTATTAACTCTCCTAAATATTCTACACGAAATCTACGTTGCAAATCGTCTTTGATCTTTTGTCGGTACGCAAACTTCTTATCTAACTTTAGTCTTTCTATCTGATCACAATCAGGTACGCCGATTTCTCTAATTTCTTGCAAAAACATAGATGGTGAAAGAGGTACTAAATCCTGAGCACTGTCAGACATGAATGTTATCGGTCTTGAATTTATAACAGCTTCACAATCACACAGTACGGTCAGCATTTCTTCGTATGCCGGACTAGATTATTTAAGTGTTCTTCTTAATAAACGTTTTGTTAAGCCAATCAACCGTTCCCACCATCCACCCCACCATGCTGCAGTAGGAGGGTTGAACTTCCATTCTATTTTCTGCACTGTACCGGTTTTGGCCACTTCGTCCCAATTTACCTTTGAGAATAAGTTATTTAGGCCCACAAAGTTCTTTCCATTATCTGAATAAACAACTGTAGGTCTACCTGGTCGTGCCACAAATCGTCGAAATGCTTCCAAAAATGATACAGTTGATAATGAAGTCACTAATTCGAGTTGTACAGCTCTATATACTGCGCAAGTAAAAAGAACTATCCAAGCTTTCTGAGATCCTTTGAGGAATACAGGTCCTGCTAAATCAATCCCTACAATCTCAAATACAGCTGCATCTCTAACTCGATCTTCTGGTAGAGGAGCAGGAATAGCCTGTATAGCCTTAGCATCGTGTCTACGACAGACGACACATTGTCTTATAACCGATCGAACAGTCCTCCTACCACCTAAGATCCAAAATTGTTCCCTTATATTATTCATTAAAATCTGCACGCCGGCATGAAGTAACTGTTCATGTTTTTCTCTAATAATCAATCGAACAATACAGCAGTCGGCAGGTAAGACTAAAGGATATCGAAAATTTTTAGCATCCTCTTTCATAATAATTTTTGTACTCAAACGTATTATACCTTGATCATCCTTGAACGTGTTTAAATGTCTAATCCGATCATTGTTTTCGTCAATAAAACTTTCATACTGAACAACTCGCAGTAACGTAATCTCCGATTCCTTTAATTCGACAACTGATAACTTATCCCTTACGTGTAGTTCTTTCTTGCTCCGAGAGTTACGAATAAATCTTTTGATCCAAGCAACGACTCGTAAAATAGTTCGGTAATCGGAAAAATGATACACACCTAAGGAGTCGACGACTTTATCTTTCCTGTAATTAGGCTCTATATTCTTCTCCTTCAAAGTGGTCAACAGAGTTTCTGTAGATGTTACAGTCGGCGTTACACACGACTTTCTTTTCTTCTTATTAATTTCATTATCATCAAACGAGAAATCCTGAACAGGCCATTCATCCGCAGAGGAACGCAACCATTGTGGTCCCTCTCACCAGTTTGATGATAATAATTGACAAACACTACAGCCTCTCGACGGCACACCCGCTGGATTTAATGCTCCGGGTACATGTCTCTAATGCGTGGGGTCGGATAATTTACGAATCTCCTGAACCCTATTCCATACAAAGGTACCCCAATGACACTCTCTCTGAATCCAAGCTAAAACTGTGGAGGAATCGCTCCAATAATACGTTCTTATGTCAGCTAATTGTAGAATTTCTAGTACTGATTTTGCTAACCTAGTCGCGATAGTTGCCGCCAAGAGTTCTAATCGGGGGATAGTTATATTTTTGACAGGCGCGACTCTTGATTTAGCCTGTACAAATTGTACTTCAACACCTGTATGTCTTTCTATCCTAATAAAAATAACTACCGCATAAGCAGATTGACTAGCATCACAGAATGTGTGCAAGGTCAGCTGATCATTAGCGTCGATATTTCCCAACATACATCTTTGTAATTTTAATTTTTAAAAATCTTGTAACTCTCCAATCCATTTTAGAAATCTACATTTAATATCCTGTGTTACGTCATCATCCCAAGAAATTTTTTGAGCCCACGCTTCTTGCAACAAAAGTTTAGGAAAAAGTAACACTGGACAAGCAAAGCCTAGCGGATCAAAAATTCGATGAGCCAGCGACAAGATAGACCGCTTAGTAATCTTTTCAATATGAAGGTCGTTCAATACCGGCACGTTTATTGTTAAGGTAGGTGTTCCCTTTTATTCCAAACAATGCCCAGTACTGCAGCCTGGTCTTCGTGGGTATCATCTCCTGAATACTCCCACCCTCTAAGATCAAAACAGCCTCTTTCCATCACTGCCTTTGCATCTGAAATAAATTTGTACAAAAGTGTTAATGAATTCACGCTAGCAACGCAATTATCGACGTAGAAACTTTTCAAAAGTCTCAGTGCATTTTCTCGAGAACCCTTGGGGAAACATTCGTTTTCGATAATCTTACTTAAGTGCAAGTCAATTATCGCTCCTAGAATGAATGGGCTACACGATACACCAAAAACGACTCTAGTGTGACGTAAAACTATAACATTACCTTCTTTATCATACCATAGAAATCGCAAAAAATCTCGATCCTTCACATCAATACTAATTTGTAAAAAAGCCCTTCTTATATCAGAAATAACTCCAATATTACCTTTGCAAAATCGTAGTAACAGAGATACAATAAGTTCTATAAAATTAGGACCTTTTTCTAAACATTGATTTAATGAAAGAAAATTTTTGTCCTTGGCTGAAGCATCGAAAACTGGGCGTATTCTGGTAGTACTATTTTCCTTAACCACGTGTCGATGAGGAAGATAGTGGCCCCAGTTATCCACTTCCTTACTAGGAACCTCTTCGATGATACCTCTGCCTTCCATTCATCAAACACGGCGTCGTACTCGTAATACAGTCCTTCGTTCTTCAATTTCTTCGTTGTTGTAACTAGTCTTTTATAAGCAAGTTCTCGATTATCATTGATCACCGGGTGATTTTGTAGCCAAGGTAATCGTACTTTATAGCGTCTATCTTCATTTAGCCGAACAGTTCTCATAAAAGCTTCGTGGATCTCCTTTTCATGTTCTTTAAGCGATTTCGTCTCAATAGGATCTTTTATTCCTAGAGTGTCTAAATTCCATAATTCAGAAACATTCTCGTCTCGGATAAACATAGATAATACGATGCCAGCTGCATCCTCGTGCCCTTCGGTGTTTGGAACTTTTCCCATAATAGTCCATCCCAAGAGGGTTTTTACCGCGACTAAACCGCATTTCAGAAGCTGTCGGTGTCCAGTCAGCAGTTTCCCCGCGATATCAGCTCCAATAAGAATTTGTATACGTCCACTACTTTCCTCGTTGTCTTCAGTATCTGTCAGTCGAATGTTCAAGTCTCTCAATTCCTTGTTCCTTGAACCATTCTTAATGCGAGGAATGCTATTACAAATGACATCTTGATCGAGAGCTTTAAAATTGCACGCATATTCTCTATCCAAACTGCTTAAACGAACGGTGTAACATCGATGCTTCTATGGATCCGACTTCACGCCGCCAAAAAATGAGTGTGTTATTAATTGTTCACTAACTGGTTCATAACCCATCATCTCCGCCGTCTGCTTCAAAATGTACGACCTTTGGGAGCCTGTATCAATAATAACACGTACAATGTATTCGGTACTATTATTCCGCAGTTTAACTCGTAATGTCTGTAAAAAAACTTGAGGATTTTCGGATACGCTAGCTAAGTTACTCTCTTTCGTGGATTCTTTATCATGCTCCGTTTTCTTTGTGACCGCTTCCTTACGAGCGACCTCTGTGCACATTAAAATTACATGCCTTTTACCACACCATGCACATTTAACATTGACACGACACTTCCTACAAGCATGTCCGATTTTCAGGCAATTAAAACAGGCATTTTTTACTTTAAGTATTTCCTGCCGTTCTTCTATACTCATTTTTCGTGCTTTTTCACAATTAGTACTTTTGTATGGAGCACTACAAAATATGCACGTAATGTCTTTATTTACTCTCGTCGTAAGCAAACTGGCAGCACTAGGAATGTCTTTATCGGTATCAGCGCGTGGTTTTACTTTTTTCCTTATTATTTTCGGATTTTAGATCAAAACCTCTGACTGCCATCGAAATCTTTTCTTCGTTTTCCACCTCGGCTCGAAGAAAATCAATCAGAAGCGTCAATCTATCCTTCGGAACGTCGACATTGAGCGTTCCTAAACTACTTCGCTGCCATGCCCGCAACAGATCCTCTGCTAAGGAAGATTCCACTAGAGGAAACAACATGGCCGCGCACTTATTGGTTGTAACGCCAAGCGTTTCAAGCGCCCTCAAATGTGACTCGATCCTATCATATAAAGTTGATAGCTGTGTCTTCTCGTTAGGTTTCATGGCGTTTTGTAGAACGAGCTTCAACATCTCTCGTACATAAACTTCTACCTGTAGTTTATCACGTCCAAATCTATTTTTGAGACTCGAAATTACTTTATCATAGTTCTCTCCAGTCGGTGAAAAACTCTGCACTAATTCGTACGCTCGTGATTTTGGGACCATTGCTTGAATTAAGTATTGGAACTTATCCTCGTTCGCGATATCGATGTCCTCATGAATTTTTTTAAAACTGCTCCAGAACTGTAACCACTCCTTCACGTCGCCATTAAACTTCGTCAATTCGATTTTAGGCAGCTTATACGTCTTCTGTCTCCTCTCTTCGACTGCATTTGTGGGAATCTCGGCGGACGTCTGGATAACCGTAGTCGGCTGACTCGTGTGCAACAATCGCGTGACTTTGTTCTTTATACGCACAAACTTTGCCTTGTACTCGTTGGCCATTTCGATTTCGCGTACAAGTTCTTCTTCCGAAGTGTACCTCTTGAACCATGAGAGTAAAAGCCTTTTCTTCTATGAGCGATAGTTCCGAAAACTTATTTTCAAGCGCCTCAAACGCATCTTGTAAATCTTCTGGGTTCTCCGTTTCATATTTCAGAGCTTCGTCGAGTGCATTATACGCTCTCGTGAAAACGATTCGCAGCGACTTACGTCCTTTCTTTATTTGATCCATGATTTTCTCGAAAAAACTTAACTCGTTCAAATAACATAAACCCGATCCTGTCACGGTCACCAAATGTTAGATTAGGAATGGGAAAAGATGAATCACGTTAACTCACGACAAACTCGAGTAAAATATACAAGCAACTTTATTAATGAACTGATATAGCCGACGCCATTATAACGAGAGAATCCTTCTCTTTACTTCCGACCTGACCCCTACAACCGAATCAATCTTGAAACTCTACATCCGCGCTTACTTAAGGCGCCAAACAATAAAATGAAATAATCGCAAATCCAACAAATGTATTATTCAAATAAATCGCAAATTTATGTCAAAAGTTGATAACATCAACACTCTGCAATTACCTCCGGACCCCACCGGGCCCATTTGCTGACACGAAAATTTGCCCAGGGTTGTCGGTCTTTAAGAGTATCCCGTCGGTGATTGCACCAACAAGTACGAAAATAATGTGGTGAGACGGCGAGACGATCGCAAGTACGTCGCCACGTGAGGTATTCTTCACAAGATTGTTGATTTTTCACCGCAAATAACAATTTTTACTTATTTAGCTCAATTTCTGAAATTTACCACAAATTCACATCATCCACATCTTTCAGACAAAAAATTTTGCGAATTCGAGGTGATCGTTGCTTTCGTGGATTTTGCTATATTAAAATGCACGAAGATCGGCGCCGTGGAAGCTGATCGGGCCGATGCCAAGTGATATGCGCGGGACAATTTTTGGCGGGCGTTATAATTGCGCGCTTGTGCATGCTTAAGTTTATGACAGCAGAACTGGACAGTAAGAGCTTAATTCAAACAAACTTGCATAGCCGCATAATGAATAGAAAAATTAATAATCACGCATCTAGTATGAAAAATATAGCGTAAGCAGTATGGCATTTTATATCAAACAATTGATCAATTTCTGTATGTAATATGCATAATTATGCGGCTATATATGTAAATTTGTTTAAATAAACAAATGGAAGAA